TATATTATATTATATTATATTATATTATATTATATTATATTATATTATATTATATATTCTACCTATTTAGTGGTCGGCACAGCTGCTAACAAGAGGCTGGCAAAGAGTTTTTCATTTTAGCATTAGCCCCCTCCCCCAAAAACTCAGTCCTTAGAATGGCACAGTGGGGCTCTCCTGTAACCTCAGCTCTTGGGAGAGAAGATAGAAAATGCCAGGTTCCAGGCCACCCTGTGCTACAGAATGAGATCCTGTTTTATATGTATATGTAGACAGACAGATAGACAGACAGATAGACAGACAGAGAATGAGAGAGTGAACCTGTTTCCTCTTTCCAAAATCCTGTCTTTGCATATACTGAAGAACCAGGCAGATTTTAGAACCCTACTACCTTCAAGTCATCACTCAAGGAGAGAGATAAGGTCCCAAGTTGGACCTAAAGGTACAGGATATCTAGTTACAGAAGCATGAGAGCCAGGGGTTCAGCTGAAGCAAGTTTCTGGTGTATGCAGATGGTACCCGCTCACTGCCCTTAAGTGCATCCCGCCAGCCTCTGCAGGTACCACGCACACCATGACGTACAGATGCCAGCGGCCGGGTGCCTGAGCCTCCTGCTCTCTCCATGTACCCTAGATACCAGATCAACGCCCGCACAGAGCTCGCTGTGCGCTATAATGACATCTCACCGCTGGAGAACCACCACTGCGCCGTTGCCTTCCAGATCCTGGCGAGACCCGAGTGTAACATCTTTGCCAGCGTGCCGCCCGAGGGCTTCAGGCAGATCAGGCAGGTGTGTGGGGCCAGAACTTCCTGGGGTCAGAGCAAAGTTCCACTCTGCAGAGGCTTGGTGACAGTGGTTGCCCATCATGGATGCTGAAACCAGCCCTCTGTCCCCTCTTCCGCCAGGGCCCAGAGTGGTCCCCAAGAAGATGGGCCTTTGCCATATACACCTGATGTCACTTGCATGTCACAGCTATTAATACAACCCTAATGGGCTCCCTTTAAGGTGACTCCTATGTCCCTACAGTCAGGGAGGGAGCTGAGGAGAGAAAGAGAAATATCTGGCCTAAGGATACAGTACGTGCTCTAGACAGGCATCTGTCACGTGCAACCTGGTAGAGCTGATATCTGCCATGTAGCTTCAGCTACTGTTCTCCCCTCCCCCAACCTGGTCATTCATCTCCCCCATGATCTGTACTACCAGATTATCCTGCCTAGTCACCCCTGCCCTGAGACAAACATTTCTAGTCACTTAAAACATCACCCTCCCCATGCAAAAGTCCCGTCTGAACCATAACTGAGCCAGTGGTGCTATTTACAGGGGATGGAGGGACCCAGAGTGACTCCTGTCTGAAATGTAGCAACTCAGTGGTAGCTGATCCTCAGAACCTATGAATGAGTCCTTATTTAGGGAGAGAGGGATGCCTTGGTATTCTGTCTTAGTTAGGGTTTTACTGCTGTGAACAGACACCATGACCAAGGCAAGTCTTATAAGGACAACATTTAATTGGGGATGGCTTACAGGTTCAGAGGTTCAGTCCATTATCATCAAGGCGGGAACATGGCAGCATCCAGGCAGGCATGGTGCAGGAGGAACTCAGAGTTCTACATCTTCATCTGAAGGTTGCTAGCTTCCAGGCAGCTAGGATGAGGGTCTTAAAGCCCACACCCACAGTGACACACCTACTAGAACAGGGCCACACCTTCTAATAGTGCCACTCCCTGGGCCGAGCATATGCAAACCGTCATACATACCTGCTTAAGTAGGATCTCCTAGTGCCACTGTGGATTGGGTTCTGAACCAATGCCAAGAGTCCTTATGAAGGACAGAGGAGAAAGAGTCATGAACATAGTAAAAGGTCATGGGACAATAGCAGCAGATACTGGTATAGACGAAGCCAGGTCATAGGCTGCCAGAAGTTTTAATGGGCAGGAAGGAGCTTTCTCTCAACCCTTGGGAGGAATGTGAACATGTTGGCACCTTCATCTTGGCCTTCCAGACCCCAGAACTATAAGGGACTATATCCCCATGTCTGGCAGCACTCAGCAAGACCATCCAGGCTGCGCATATAAGGAACAGCTCCAGGCCTTCTGAGAGTCATCTATTGCCACCCCTTTGAGTCTCATCTGGCTGGCGTCCTTCCCCACACCGCTGAACTGATGCAGGGGAAAGGTTCATCTGTCTCCAGGGGATCCTACAAGCTTGACTCTGTCAAAGAGCAGCCGCCTCATAAACCATTATTTCCTTATTTGTCCATTCCCTGTGAGGTTCAAAGCCAACTGTAGTGCTTATGACAGTCAATATTGAACCACGGATTCTCAGTCCAGCCCTCTCCGCCCTCTATCTGTAGGCTTCCGCCCTTTCTTTCATGTTTGCGGCTCCACCCTATCAGTGTGTGCCTTAGGTTGCTATGACAACTATAACCAACCTTCTCTGAAGTGGTTAAAGGGCAATCAGAGGAAAGAAGATGGCCAGTGCCACCCAGTGACTGCCCAGAGGACCTGATGGGGCATCCCTTAGTATGTAGCTTGCCCCAGCAAAATGTGTCAGGCAGCATCCCAAAAGAGAGAGGGTCATCTAATTGGATGAGGAGACAATAAATTCCTACGAACAGGATCTTCTTCATGGCCAGCAGCCACAGTTGTCCCCGACCTCCACAGGTACTAATTACAGCATGTGTGCACCCACACTCACACACACAATAATTTTGTCATTGAAGATTTTGAGGGCTAACCGAATGTTCTATTAACACTAGTCTTTACGGGGGGAAAAAAAAGGTTCATAATTCAAAATGCAAAGTGATGTCACACAGAAGAGATATACATTTGAGGTTCTTCATATTGGCTGTCCGACATTAACATTTGAGGCCAGTGGTCTTATTTTCTTGGAAGCGTGAAGCTCTACACCTGGCATGGAGATGTTATGTAAATGTTTGTGGGGTGGATGGATGGATGGATGGATGGAGGATGGATGGATAGATAGATGGATGGATGGATGGTGGATGGATAGATGGATGGATAGGACAGATAGATGATGGATGAGTAGATGGATGGATAGATAGATGGATAGGGCAGATAGATGATGGATGAGTGTTGGCAAATAGATGATAAATGGGTGGATGACTGGATTGATGGTAGGTGGGCGGGTGGATAGATGGAAGAGTTGAATGCAGATGGATGAGTGGAGGAGTGTGTAGCAGATGCTTGGGTAATGGATGCAAAGAAGCATGGGTGGACGACTGGGTGGCAGATGGTTGGATGAGGGATGGTGATGGATGGAAGGAAAGATGGGCAGACGTATAGACAAGCAGAATACCATAGATGCACAGAAAGCTAGGGAGGCAGGAGAAATGAAAGTTACAGTTTCAAATTATGCTACTTTTCCTAAGCCAGTTTCTAGTTAACAAAGTAACTGCCTTAGTCTAGTTTCAGCTGCTGTAATAAAATCCCACAGGCTGGGAAATATAAAAAGAGAAGAGGTCTGTGTTCACTCACAGTTCTCAAGGCTGAGATGTCTAGGAGCTTGGCATCCACATCTGCTCTGTTTCTGGTGAGGGATGTGGACAGACAGAAGGTCAAGACAAGAGTGAGAAGTCACTCTCTGAGGATTTAATCCAGTGCTGAGCGGGTCAGAGGAGAATATGAATTGCTTCACGAGGGTAGAACCCATGCACTCCCTAAAGATCCCACTTCTTAATACAGTCACCACAGGGACTGAGTTTAGGAGAGCATCAACCATGTTCAAACCACTGCATAGCTATAGCCTCAAGCCCATTGAATCCTCATTTGCAAACTTCATAGTGGGAATGTTACCAAGTATGTTCTGACTTAGATAATCTCTACACAGTCACATATAAATGAGGCAATGGGAAAACCATCTTGGAAACTCCACGGATACCCGTCAGTAAGCTCTGAGCAGGGCCAATTGCAGTCTTGGTGACTAAATCTAGGAGACTTCTAACCTAGGCTAAAATCTGTTTGGTTTCACAAGTCAGCATGATGAACCATCTGTCCGCCTGTGATCTGCAGCCTGTGGATGTGGCATAGGGACAGACAGAGCACACATGGGGCAGTGGTCACACAGAGCACAGTGTGAGGAGTTCTCAGTGAGGTTCTGGTATGTGCTGACACCATGTCCTCTTACTGCTCAGGGGATGATCACGCTGATCTTGGCCACCGACATGGCAAGGCACAATGAAATTATGGATTCTTTCAAGGAGAAAATGGAGAATTTTGATTACAGCAACGAGGAGCACCTGACCCTGGTAGGTTGTGTCTTTGGAAAGCTGAGTTGTAGTTCAGGTGGGAAACTCCAAGAGCCCAGTATCTTACCTGGCCATGGAGTGTTGGAGTGACTGGATTTCAGTATCACAACCCTTCCCAGGCCAGCAGTCATCAAGGCTACCTCCTGGAGAGTATTCTGTGGCTGGAGTACCACCTCCTCCCTTGAGGAGATGGTCTGAGTGTGTCCTGTGTCTGTCCCTCCCAAAAAGACAAAATGCAAACCTAGAATGCTATTCATCCCTGCAATCTGCAGCACTGGAAAGCCTGAGGCAGGAGGATTACAGCAACTGTAGACCCACCTGAGCTACATCCTAGCCAGTCTGGATTATAGTGTAAGACCCTATCTCGAAAATTAATTAATTTCAAAGTGAGCAAAACTCGTTAACAAAATAAATAACGCCGGGCAGTGGTGGTACATGCCTTTAATCCCAGCACTTGGGAGGCAGAGGCAGGCGGATTTCTGAGTTCGAGGCCAGCCTGGTCTACAGAGTGAGTTCCAGGACAGCCAGGGCTACACAGAGAAACCCTGTCTCAAAAAACAAAAATGAATAAATAAATAAATAACAACTGATACCCCATCATTGAGAGGTTACGTTAATTGTTTTGTGCCTTACTTTGGAGACATGTATCATAGTCTCTTTTAAACCATTTAATTTCTTTAAAACTAATACCATGGGGCTCAAGAGCTGGCTCAACAGTTAAGGGCTCTTGATGTTCTTGCAGAGGACCTGGGTTCAGTTCCCAGCACTCACATGGCAGCTCACAACCACGAGTAATTCCCAGATCCAGGGGATCTGGTGCCCTCTTCTGACCTCTGAAGACATTGCACATACATACATGCAGACAGAACGCTCATGCACTTAGAAATAAATGTCTTGAAAACCAATACCACCACTTTGCCTCCCCTAAGGCAAAGTGACTGACAGTCAGTAAGGATTCCTTTCTTAGGTCAGGCTGAATTTGTGGCTTCCATCCCATGACGCTGAGCTTTTTTCGGAGGGAGGGGAGCATTACTCCAAAAAAGCTGAATCTCAATAAACAGACAGGGGTGCAGAGAAGCAAAGGCCCTGGTGGCTAACACCTGAACAGTGGGAGGATACGTCTTCCCCAAGTTGGGGCCTCCAAGAGCACCCCCCTTTCTGAGGTAAGAAGAGAGGCACAGTTGTCTTCTTATCAGGGGACACCTCTCAAGATCCCAGTGAGTTGCTGAAGCCAAACCCCATGTATAGCGTGCTTTTTCCTATTCATATGTTTCCACAATAAAGTTTAGCTTACAAACCAGGCACAAAAGAGCCTAACACCAAACTCAGGCAGAGTAACAAGAGGACCACACAGTAAATAATAGGCAGGTGACATATCAAAAATGGACCAAGGGCAGAGGGAAGACCCCCATCCTGGGTAGGGTGAAGAGAGTGGTGAGATCTCTCTGTGTGTATTGTTCAGAACAGCATGGAGGTTAAAACAGATGGGCTCTTTATTTCTGGAACTTTCTATGTAATATTTTTTTTTTGGGGGGGAACTAAAAGCATAGAAGGCAAAAGCAGAGACAAAAGGGGGGCTGTTGTACAGCCATGTTGGATCCGTGGCAAGATCTGCTAAGGTCTGGGAAAGACCCAAAAGTGAAGGATGATGGGAAGGAGCTATAGGAAGCAAGGTGGCTGCAGCCTGCATACCTTACTTCTGTCTGTGATGGGAAGAAAGCAAGCTTCAGGGCTGTGTGACTTGCAAAAGGCCAAGGACTCTGCCCAGTGTGCAAGTGGCTAGATAGGATGATAACCTAGACCAAACCTACCTTGGGCTCTGCCCAGCCTCCTCTGGCCACTCACCCACTGATGCAGGAGGTGCAAGAGGAATAACATCTTCTCCCCCGGGACAAGATCAGGCTGGCTGGACTTGCGTTACCACAGGGCCCCCAAAGGCTGGGGGCAGGGGAGACTGAGAAAGATCTGGGAGAAAGAGTTCAAAGTCTAAGCCTGTGCTGGAGGCTCCTGGGCCACAGAAATGGAAGTGGCCAGAACACAGCCCGAAGACATAGCAACATACCTGACCCAGCCGCTACGGAGGCCACAGTGTCTAGTCTGGGGCAGTTCCCCCCGTGAGGCAAGCCAGACCAAGCTTTTAACTGCCTCTGGGTTGAAGCCAGTTCCAATACAGAGCAGAGAAGAAGGATCAATGCCCAGGAACCTGGAATGGGGCTGCACAACAACTATCCATAAGTCCTTCAAGGCCCAGACAGAGTGAAAGCATTAATCCACCCTGCTATGCTGACACAAAGCTGTGCATAATCCCTCTTCTACATGGGAAAGTCAACAAAGCAAGTAGATCTGGATCTGTGGCCTAAGGTTGTGTGTCAGATAGATGTTCCTGCCTGTTCACCCTCAGACCCTGGACAATAGCCCCCACTCCCCTTTCATGCAGGAAGGTCACAGTGTCTCATGATGTCTGTGCCTGCCACAAGGCCAGAGTACCAGGATTCCAGCCCCCACAGCCGGGCAGAGTTAATTCTCTGGTTAGCTCAGGAGAAACACTTGCGAAACAGAATCCTTTGACTGGCGTGATGCAGGCCTGTTGAACTCCAGGGAGTGGCCAGCCTCCTGCCTGGGAGAAGCTACCTCCTCTGGGAGACCATGCCCAAGAGGTTGCTGTGGGCCCAAGAACATGTGTTCTGGGGTGGCTTGAAGGCTGGCAGGAATTGACCTACACAGACACTTCCAGTCACACACTTGGTGCCCTAATCAGAGACATTTCTGCAGAGATGTAGCCCCAGGCTGATTAGGAAAGCTCTGTTTGGAACAACACAATGTCCGCTCCATATATTTTTCTTCTATTTTCCACAGCCACAAAATTTAACTTGTCAAGGTGTTGAACTTCCTGCAAACACTGCGCCACTCAGCCATGTCCCCAGCCCTCTTTTTACCCGACACTTTGAGACAAGAGCCTCATTAAGTTGTCCAGGCTGGCCCTGTAGGCAGACCTTGAATTTGCATCTTCTTGCTTTGTTCTTGCTAGGGCCTTGTTTTGAGAACCAGACCTGGTGACACATAACCTGTAATCCTAGAAGCTGGAAGGCAGGAAGATACGGAGTTCAAGGCCAGCCTTGAGTTCTAAAGGCTAGCCTGAGCTACTGCAGAGTGAGAGCGTTTCAAACATAAGAGGGCACGGGTCCTCGCTCGATTTTTAATGTGACAGTTTACAGCTGGCATTCTAAAAAGCTTGTGTATCTGATGGGTCCCCATCCTTTCTTGGGGAAGCTGGGAAATCCAGACTGCAAGATCGAAGCAGCACTCTGTGTGTGCGTGCGTGCGTGCGTGCGTGCGTGAGAGAGAGAGAGCAAAGAAGGAAGAGTGACCTTCAAGGCGGAAAACCTTTTGTCTTGATGGACAGTACTGCCCCCCAATCCCTACCCTTGCCCCACCCATCCTATCCTTTTCCCCACCTGTGATGGTGGATCCAGTCAACCCACACAGGAGCGGTGGTTGTGCTGAATCCACCAACGCCCTAAATGCCAGCATCTCCTTTCAGCTGAAGATGATTCTCATAAAATGCTGTGATATCTCCAATGAGGTCCGTCCCATGGAGGTGGCAGAACCGTGGGTGGACTGTTTACTGGAAGAATATTTTATGCAGGTAAGAAACACTGAGCCGTCAGGTTGCTGGCTCTAGACTGCGCTACACCACAAAGAACAGACCAGGGTGGTTGGCATATGTCCCCCCATCCCCAGCAGCCTCCACTGTCTGCGTAGACATCCGGCAGAAATGTCACTCTGCTTTTGACATCGTTCTGAGAAGGAGGCATGGTGACACATACCTGTAATCCTAGCAGCTGGGAGGCCGGAAGATCAGGAGTTCAAGGCCAGCCCTGATTAGGGTGTCTTATAGATATGAGACTGTAGCCACCAGAAAAGCCAGTGTGATGGAACTGACACCCATGGCCATTCATAGAGACACTTTTGGAAGTAGACTCAAGAAAAGTGGCTAAGGGTCAAGAAGACTCAAGGGGAGGGGCAGTCACCAAATAAGATTGTTCATATGGTAGTTATAAACTAGGCTAGTTAGGGCAGGATGGGAGAGGCAGACAAGGAGCTGTCAAGCTCTGCCTTGTAAGCTGCCCTGTCATGCCCTTGAGACAGACACTCAGCCTGTGTTTAGACTGGTCCCCTTGCCGCACCTTGGCTCATGCATAGCCATTACACTGCAGGCTGCATCCTGTACCGCCTTTGTGTGGCCAGGAGGATCACAGCGAGGCAGCATGTCCTGTTCTTCCTCTAAGAACAGGGCTGCTGTGTGTACCCAAGTCTACGGTCCTTTGTGCCTTTAATGTCACTGTCACTGTGTTCCCTGCAGAGTGACCGTGAGAAGTCTGAAGGCCTTCCTGTGGCCCCATTCATGGACCGAGACAAAGTGACCAAAGCAACAGCCCAAATTGGGTTCATCAAGTTTGTCCTGATCCCAATGTTTGAAACAGTGACCAAGGTGAGTAATCGTGCTGTCGGTACAGCAGCAGTAAACACTCAGGTGCACACAGGCATGCAGGCACACTTCAGGGATATGCATGCTGTAGGTACAGCAGCAGTAAACACACATGTGCACACAGCCATGTATGCACACTTCAGGGCTATGCATGTGCACATGCATGAACCCTCTATAGCTCCATCATCTGCTGCCATGGTGATGGTTGCCTGGCAGCCATTTTCTGCTGTTTCCAGTGCTCTGCCCCAGTCCTCTTCAAAGAGCTCCATGTGTGCATGTCAGGCCCTCCGTACCCACTTTTCCACTGCCCATCTCTGCCAGCTTTAAGACTCAGCCAGTTGTACCAGCTGTTGCCTCTCCTGTCCTTCCAGGCCTCGCCTTAAAGGAACAACTGGAATCGGTGCCCACAACCAGGTCCTAGCCTTCTACCACCCAGCCTCTGTAGCCTCCACCTTCCAGGTCCCAAGCTGCCTATGCATCCTTTTCACATCTCCCTATACAACTCAGTCTTACAGGGCAGTTGAAAAACATTTGACACACATCATGGACTTTGGAAAATATGCTTCTTTAGATTGGAGGTGCAGTTAAATCAGGACATTTCGAGTCCCTCTGATTTTCAATGATAAATACTTTCATGAAGACACTGCTAGGTGCTCTCCAGCTTGCTGAGAGGCAAGTAGGAGAAGCAGAAATTCATTTCAAAAGTCCCCTGGCAAAAAGGAGGGACAGCTACAATGAATGGGGTTCACTCTAAGATGTTCAGTCTCTTAGCTGTGGCTGCAGCCTATTCCCTGTGAGAATCCCCAGACTCTTGAATTGGGAGGCTATAGAGTGGCCTCCGGGATAGCCATATTGCAGGACAAAGGCAAGGAGCAAGGGATGGAGAGCTTCCAAGGTCACTGCTTCCAGCTCCCTGGCTCCCAAACACACACTCATCTCTTGCCTCCTCACTTATCCCACCTTCAACCCCTACCCATCATTCTCTGGGTACCTCAGAGCTACCCACATCCTTTCTATTCCTAGGACCACCACCAGGAATTTTATCAGATCCATCCCCTGCATAAGCCCCTCTGAGGCCATACCTACCTACCCTTGCCTTACTGAAAGGAGTAGGGGCAGAAGGTTGTAGGCTTTCTGAGATCCTATGGGGAATGACAGGAATCTGAGCCAGAGGCCGAAATGGGAGGTGGTTGAGGATGCACGGGGGTCTCCAGGACTCGGAACTGGCCAGAAGACTCATACTCCTTGGATTTCCCTGAAAGACCTGATTTGAGGCCACTGGAAAGTGACACCCCAGAGGCTCAAAAGTACCTACAAGGGCCTGACAGCCTTCCCCAGTGTTCTCCACAGCTGAACACGATTATGGGGGCTGGCTGACCTTGGACCCTCTACTCCTCAGCTTTTCCCTGTTGCCGAGGAGACCATGCTGCGGCCACTCTGGGAGTCCCGAGAACACTATGAGGAACTGAAGCAGCTGGATGATGCCATGAAGGAGGTGAGGGCAGTGCAGAGGGCACAGGTAGGCAGAACAAAGGCCAAGCACAGGAGCCAAGCCTCGGGCTGGAGAGATGGCTCAGTGGTTAAGAGCACTGACTGCTCTTCCAGAGGTCCTGAGTTCAATTCCCAGCAACCACATGGTGGCTCACAACCATTTGTAATGGGATCAGATGCCCTCTTCTGGTATGTCTGAAGACAGTGACCATGTACTCATAGAAATAATAAAGTAAATCTTAAAAAAAAAAAAAAAAACCAGCCAAGCCCTAATATGCTAAAATGTAGAGGTTCTTCCCCAGGGACTGCGTCAGGCAGTGCTTTCCTCTGAGCCTGCCGGCCGGTGAGAGTAAACACACAGCTGTGTAACCCTGGAGAACTGCCTCTGTGCTGTGTCTTAGCACCTCTGTGGCCAGTGTCCTCCTCCTGGCCAGGATGTCTATTCAGTGAGGGCTGCATTGAAAAAGACAGAGGAACAAAGCAAGCGTCCAAGCATCCAAATCCCTGCTTTCAGAAACAGCGCACACAGGACCACTCGGCTACCCTTGTGGTCTGGGAGATGGAGAGGTTTTAGGGCACTGTGGATGCTGGATCCCAGGAGAGGGTAGGAGCCACTACGGTCTTAACAGACCCCTGAAAGGGGTCCAGCTTTCTTGTTCAGCCCCTGTGTGAGCATCTCTTCTTCCAGACACTCTGGCACTAGGGATTCCATCCACACCTCCTCCCTGATGTGGCGGTGGGGTATAGTCTTTCTTTACCCACCTGACCCCCTGTTCCTACCAGAACATCTATGACCCAGAAAACCTCTCCTTGGCCACCGTGACCCCACCACCCAACATGGGATGTCCCCCACGGTCTCATTTCCTATTCGGTACCCATCCTCCCAGGCTCCCTGGTAATGGACCATTCTATATCCATCTTTTCTGCCTGCTTTCCCAGGTGTGGCCTGGTATTGGTCACATCCCCCTTCAGCCACATCTGCCATGCACACCTCTGGTGTGCAATGCCAGGCGTGTCACGGATATATGGTGAACTCATACAGGTTGACTGAAAGTACAGACCAGCAATCCCGATCTCCCTGGTTGGCATCTCTTGCCATAGACACAAGAAAGCTCTGAAAATCTACAAGGCTAAGAGCAAAACACACCAAAAGGCTACAGCATCAGGGCATTCCCAGACTCTCACAGGAAGGCTGCAGGGGCCTCTGCTATCATGGCTATCCCATCAGCCATTGCTCTGGGGGGACCCGAGTCTGCAATCCTACATTCCGCTGTCCAGTGGGAAGGGATGCCAGGCCTCTCCAGGGGCTAACTTTGACCTCTCTTCTCTTAGTTGCAGAAGAAGACAGAAAGCTTAACATCTGGGGCCACCGAAAACGCCACAGAGAAGAACAGAGATGGGAAAGACAGTGAAGGCCATTCTCCTCCAAACTGATGGATATCTCAGTATGTGCAGTAAGTGGGAGGCCACTGGAGTTCTATATGTGGGGAGGACTGGGTGCGTGCAAGAGAGTTTATGTGTGCGTGCATATGTGTGTGTGTGCATACATGTGTGCACATGTGTGTGTGTGTGTGTGCCTGTATGTGCGCACATGTGCTCGTACATTCATTTGTAGTTGGGTATGCATTTGTGTGCATGTGTGTGCACATGTGTTTGCATCTGTGTATGCATTTGTGCATATATGCATGCATGTGTATGCATGCATGTGAGCATTGTGTGTGCCTGTATGTGTGCACATGGACTTGTACATGTATTTGCATTTGTGTATACATTTGTGCATGTATGCATGCATGCGTGTGTGTGTGTGCGCACGCGCGCACACACTCACACATGTGTAGTTCCCCACCCTCATCTTACAAAGCACCAGAAACTCAGTCATGGGATGTCTACTCTGATGCCTTTGTCTGTTCTAATCGTCTCCCTCAGCCTCCTTCCAAACACTGCAGTCAGGTGTTTCCACCTTTAACCTCACAGTGGGGGTTGAGCATCCCCACCGGGATACTCCAGGGATGTGTACAAAGTATCAATTGCCTGCTACACTTACAGGGCAAGCGCAGAGTCCAGCCACAGCATGCAGCCCGCTTTCCCATAAGTGAAACTTTAATCCCGTGCATCTCAATTAGAACCTGGACTCTGATTTGGAAGGGTTCACACTTTGGATAGAGAAAAGGATTAATTATCAAGATGTGTGCCACTCTTTAGATGAAATAGTCTGTGAAGTGCCTCTGGGGTATTAAAAGCTTTTAAAAAGCCTTCGCCCTCGTCACCACAAGCATGTCCCATGACATCTGCTGACCCAGCGCTTCGCCCCAAACAACCATCAGCTAGTGCTTGCTTCCTAACAGCTCACTAAGCACATGGCTGTTCGGTATGTCAGGTAAACTTCAGGTTTATGCGTGGAGCCGGAGAAGCTGGGTTTGAAGGGGAGACAGCAAAGACGTCAGCCTCTAAGACATGCTTTTAGTAAAACCTTTCAAGCGGCAGCCGTGTGTGAACCCCAGAGCTGTCGTCTGTAAGCCTGAGGTCACTCTGCCGTTATTGGGACTTGAGTAGTTGTGTGAACTGCTGTTCCATACTGAGGCATCCATCCAGTGAACCTTGAAGCCGGGTCATGTTCTTGAAAAGAAAATGGCACTGCCATTGTTTAATTTTGCCCACATGTGTTGTGTGGCCGACAGCCTCATTTTTTTCAGTGTTGCAGGAAATATTAAAAAGAATGGGGCCGGGCGGTGGGGGCGCACGCCTTTAATCCCAGCAATTGGGAGGCAGAGGCAGGTGGATTTCTGAGTTCGAGGCCAGCCAGGTCTACAGAGTGAGTTCCAGGACAGCCAGGGCTATACAGAGGAACCCTGTCTCGAAAAACCAAAAAAAAAAAAAAAGAAAAGAAAAAAAAGAACAGCAAGTTTCTGAGCTACACCCTAGCTACTCTCTGCCTCAGCAGGCTGGCCAGCCATGCACTAGCAGGCAATGGCCAACCTGTTCTTATCGGTGGAGACTCTGACTCAGAGCTCCAAAATGTCTCCACCCGACTCGCTAAGTTCACACTGGTGGGTCGCAACCACGCCAGCCCCATGCTTCAAAACCCCCACGGTCTTTTGTGGTGCACATCAGGCAAACCCATGCTTTGCTGTTGTACCTTTCTCTCTGGAACCCAGTCGAACCACTTCGTGAAGGAAAACACTGCACAAACTTAGTTCAGAGACAATGGTAACTCAGTCGCTGGGTGCAACAACTAGAATCTTAATCTTATAAGCAATATTAAATCTAAATCCTCCGGTGGCGAATCCTGGCGGATCCATCACGGAACCTGGAAGACACAGTAGCTACATCTTGCCCTTTTGCTATCCCCATCCAAAAGCTCCCCCCTCTCTCCTGCTTCCTCTCTTCCTCTGTCCAACCCAGAAGTCCCGCCTACTCACCCAGTGATTGGTTCTTTTATTCATTAGGGAATGGTTCACAAGAAGTCACCTGAGTACGTGGTGACTGATTCCTCGGTCCAGACAGCCCCTCGTAGGAAAGCGGAATTGACATCAAAATACAAACGACACCAGGTCCATCCACAACACTTCAGTTTATTTTATTTGTGTGTCCAAGTGAAGATGTGCACCATGTGTGCATTAGAGTTTATAGAGGCCAGAAGCAGGCATCAGGTCCCCTGGTTGGTTACAGGTAGTTGCGGACTGCCACGTGGGTGCTGGGAACTGAACCTAAAAGCAGCCAGTGTTCTTAGCTGTTAAGCCATCTCCCAGCCCCAAGCTCATTCTTTTATATCGAATTAATTTTTTACATTCGTATACAAAGTTGTGGTTATCACCCGGTGTCTTCAAACATGTGCGCAGTTATCCCTTCTCATCCATTCCTGCCCCTCCCCACACACCTGCTTGTCCCAACCAGATGGTTCCCTTTCGTTCTCCAGTTAGTAGCCCCTTTGGCTGTGTGTGTGTGTGTGTGTGTGTGTGTGTGTGTGTGTGTGTGTGAG